GAGGTCTTCTCCACAGTACCCCTCCCCCCCTCTTGTGTGCTTGTTGTTGTCGTTTTCTTTTTCCGACCAAGTGGGTGAAAGACGAGGTGTAGCTGTGCTTCCAGCCTCGTGTCGTGTACCAATTACGCTTGATTCTTGAAACGGGTTTTTTCTTGTCCTTGTTTTGTTTCACGTCCAAGTTGGTGAAAGAGGAGATGGAGCTGGGCTTCCAGCCTCGTGTCGGTAATCTTTCGTTTGTCGCTCAAAGCATTAGCATTCTCCTTTCTCAATTGTGTTTTTTCCAACGGAGCCGGGCTTCTAGCCTCGTGTCCTACTACCTTATTTATTTTTGTTGTTAACTTGCTTACCTACTAAGTTGGTGAGAGAGGAGGTGGAGCTGGGGATGCCAGCCTCGTATCGAACATTTTATTCAAAGTACCTTGTTTTATTGTCGTAAAAATGTCTTTTTTTTGCCTTTTTTTTGTTCCAAGGTGATGAAAGAGGGGAGCTGGAATTCCAGCCTCGTGTTGCAAATTGTTTCTTACATTTTTTTTTTTTTTCAAAGGTGGTGAAAGAGGAGCTGGAGCTGGGCTTCCAGCCGGAGATAGTTCAAGGAGAAGAGGCCGAACAGGCGCAGCTATCGGCCACGCTGTCCTCCAGAGAGCTCAGCCTAGCGGTAGCTGTCCTCGTCAGGAGCTTCTCCCCGGAAGACACTTCCGTCGGCATCGACAGCACCGACAACGCTGACGCTAGCGCCAACGCCGGAGGGGGGGCGACATTCGAGGCCCGGGCGAACGCCGCGGCGGCTAGGCTGGAAGGGTTCTCGGTGGTGTTTGTGAAAGAGCTTAGAAGCAGGTTCTTGAGGTCCGGGGAGAGGGAGGACGGGTTCCGAATGGAGGAGGACATTACGGCTGCTAACGGGGCCAAGGGAAGCGTTTTCTTTGTGTCGGAGGTGAGTTTGGGGGGAGGGGGGTGTTGCTGGCGTTTGACACGCCATGCGTTTCTTACGAGAAGGAATTAGGGGGGGGGTTGGCTAGCGAGCCGTAGTTGTGAATTGACTGTGAAGGGGCTGTTGCCGTTTTTGTGTGTTGCTGGATGTCATCATGGTTTGTTTTGATGTTGTTGTTGGCATTGTTGAAGATAGTTGTAGTTATATTTGGCTAATGGCGTTGTAACTCTCGTGTTGCTGGTTGTAAGTGCCTTGCTGCTGTTGTTTATGACGTTGTTGTTCTTTTGGCTCATGTTGTTGCTGCTGTTGCTTTCGTTAGTTACTTCTCCTTTGTTGCTCCCCCCCCCCCCCCCCCCCCCCCCCCCCCCCCCCCCCCCCCCCCCCCCCCCCCCC